AACTTAACAGGGTCTTAAAAACACACACAGGATGGGAAAGAAATTCCTCCGAACTATTGAAAAAAAATTAGTAACATACAGATTTTATCATCTATTTCCTCCTCCTCAAAGGGATGTTTTGTTATCCACTTAGACCGAAGAGATTGCCTTAAACCAAATTAAGGGCTTAGATGTAAAGAATAGGAAAGGAAAATAAAAAAGAGAAAAACCTGACATACCAACCAACCAACCAATTTCAATAGTCCATTTTATAATGAGGTAGAACAAAGAACAAAATGGATAGCTCCAAAGTGGCAAAGTTCCAGAAACCTCATTCAGTTCATCTACTAGATGCTTTGCCAAACCTTATCCAAATAACCCAATTATTACAGTCTACAGACGAGGGGAAATTCTTACAAAATTGGCTTCCATGTGGAATCTCAAATCATGTCTCCACTTGGGTCAAATAGATCACTAGGATTGCCTTGTTGAAGCTTTTGCCTCTGGGCTTAACTGCAATTTTGCAAAATGGAAAATGAGGGAATGCATCCAGGTAAAATTCTGGATGTAGATTTAAATCAGACTTTTTTTTTTTTGAAAGCTTAAGTAAAAAAACAGTCCCTCCTCACTGTAATCTAATTCTCTGAAAAACTGTCCAAAGTAGAGTCAGAAATTCCAGACTTCCAAACTCAGTTTAGCTTCCAGTGTACTACTGGGTGATCATGAGCCCTTACTCTGTGCATATGCCATTTTGTAATCGTCATATCCCAAGGTTGACACAGACCTACCTCACAGACACCATGCAAGGATTAATTAAGGTTAAACTGGAAGGAAAAAATTGCATTTGACAAGCCAGGCTTTATCCATGCTGCTAAACAGACCCAGATGTTTTAACAACTGTTCAGATTATTTGGTAGCATCCTCACTAAAAAGAATATATTTGCATAATGCATTTCAGCTGTGAAGACATTTTTAAAAATCAAAAGATTCCAATATTTCAGAGGGGAAGAGAAAAGCAATCTGGCTCCATTCAGGTGGAACTCATACTGAGCACCATTCACCCCAAAGTTTTCTCATTGAGTAAACATCGTGAACATATGTACTTAAGAAAGTCTCAAGACAAGGGAAGACTTCATACTTCCTCATGCCTAGACCTTCTCTAGACCTTCTGTTCTCTCATGAAGATGGTAATTGAGTTTAACCTCTCTTTTCATGTCTTTCTGTGTTGGCTAGATGCAACTCTGAGTCATCTACTTTTTCATCTTACACTTTCTTTGTCCAGGTATCTGATTATCCATTGCCTGAGGAAATCACAACAACTATATAGCTCACAGAGATGGTCTTAGTAATACTTGTATGCAGATATTAGTCTTTGTAGATTTTCCTGGCACATGCCAATCCAAGGATGTTTCAAAATGTTTGTGTGTTGGGGGTGGTGATGGGCAAAGGAGAGGAAGAGAAAAGAAATGCAAAGAGCATAGAACCATTTTCTTCCTCTTGCTATTAAAGACAAAAAAATTGATACTTGAGATTCCCCTCTTTGAGAGTCATTCTTTAAGGAATCTTAAAATAGTATGTTTTATAACATTGCACAGCATCGTACTTAGTAATATAAACTCTAAAGTCAAGTAGCTAAGTTTGAATCTCCTTTCTCCCACTTGCTATTTGAGTGACTTTGACTAATTATACAAAATGTATATGCCTGGCTTCCACATCTTTAAGTGGAAATTGGTATACTACCTGATACATAAAGTTATTATGAAGAAAATAAGTTACGTATATGTACATCACTAAGAATAGTTTCTGAAATATAGTAATCACTGACTAAATGTTAGTTATTTTTATTATCTATTATTTTAAATGCCCATATTTTAACTCAGTATCATTTCAGGCCCAAGAAAATTTAATCTCTTTTGAAAACCTTTCTAAAACATGCAGGTCTATTTTTGTCTTTTAGTAACTACTGGATAGGAAAGATGCGATCCTTAGAACCTTCTAGCACTTAGGGTCACTGCCCTGACCAACATTTCTCCTTAGAAGCATTTTGCTTTAGCAAAACATGTGTCTCCAGCTACACCCTAGACTTATGAGGGCAAATATACCAAACACTGCCACAGATCTTTCCTTGGTTACCAACTGGTGTGCAATAAACAGATTCAAAACTCATTGTTCTTTAAAAAACAACGAACATTGGTTTAACTCACGTGTCTGCTGGAGTTCAGCTGAACTGGGCTGGGGCCCGCTCATCTCAGCGGAGCTTGTCCACCCACTTATTCCTCCTACGGAAGCTAAGAGGAGGGAGAGACTATTTCTGAACAGTAATCCCACCCGCCACACTCATGCCCACATTGAGGGACCACAGTGTTCTTTTCCATTGTCTGAGTATAGGATTTATACCCTTTGCAGCCATGATAATTGCTAGGAAACCTGCTAAATATGAGGGAAAGAAGAAAAATCTAATTGAGACTTCTGGTTTTACAAATATTTCATGCATTTTATAGAATAATAGGTCTGGATATCAAATTCTATCTTTCTACCCTATAAAACACCACGTTCATATTTTCAGAACAAATGTTACATTTAGTTTTTCAATTGTGACTGAGTTAGTTTGAAAAATATGTATATATACAATAAATATCAATGAAAATTGCCATTTGATTTTTAAATATCAGTGGTTTTAGTTATTTATTAATCACCTATTTTTTGTAAACAATAAATATATTGAGAATTTTTAACAGTTATTTATTTTTCATTTAAAAAATATCTGTATATTTTTCACAATTTTAAAACTAAAAATGTATAAGAACTGATAGATATCAATATTACAATGTCAAAACCACCTACACAGACACTTCTAGCCCATTTATTTTAAACCATACTAATAAATACTAGAATTATATGAATTTTTCATTTATTCTGTTTATTTTTAATTAATCTTTTAAAGTAACGTCAATGTTTCTTCTTCCAAATGACTTTCTTTACATTTTAATTTAAATATTATGATGTATGCTCCCTTGACATAACTAGTTTAAACATTACAAGAAAATAAAATTGGCAGATTCAATATAAGAAATATTCTATTGCAACTTGACTTTTATAACATAATCCTTGTGTAAATATATCTGAAGTAAATTTTAATTATAATAAACTAGCAAGGGAAAAGAAAGTCTTCCTGTTAAACCAGTATAAAATGCTTCAACTGAGCACAGAAAGAATGGCGCTGGTAGAATATGTGGGTCTGAATTTTATCTTTAAGTGAGTATATATGTAACAAATTAGCTCTCAAATTGAGCACTTTCTTTTTTTCTGATACGTGCCCCTAGCAGGAACCGAACCCAGGACTCTTCGGTCTGCAGGCTGACGCTCCAACCGCTGAGCCAAACCAGCCAGGGCAAATTGAGCACTTTAATGAAAAAAACTACTACCCCCTACCAATATATCATAAATCAAACCATTGATCACACTGTTAAATTCCTAAAAAGGCTATCTTTAAATTGCATTTAATTAACTAGCATACATTTAGAAGAAAACAAAATGTCATTTTGCAAAATTGTCCACAGTTAGAAAGCACTTTCAGCAACCTTGAGGCATAATTACTATTATTTTTAAGGGATTTGGGGGAAAAAAGAAAGAGAAAATAGACAGTCCTCCTCAAATTGATTAAATGTATAGAAGCTGGGATGAAAATGTAACTGTAAAGTGACCTCTGGATTTCTTAAACAATAAAAGCAACCAATGTATCTTTCTCTCCTGGTCAATAATTCTCTCCACTCCCTTCACCTTTTTGTATGTTGAAAAGGTGGCTGGAAAGCCCAAAGTTTCAGGACTTTCCTCTGGTCACTGGTGATCTGTCCCTCTGCCCATTCCTCCACTGGCCACAGGGAGCCTCTGCTATCGCCCACACCTCTCTCTCTGCTAGATGTCCTTTGCCAGCAATTGTGGTTATACAGGGAGATGAGCTTAAAACACACCAGTGGTCCTGGGTTCAAGCCTGCCTTTTTATGCTAGGCAGCCACATGGCTTTGGGCTAAGTAGTTGAAACCCCTGGGCATCACTTCCTGTCTAAACAGTAAAAGATGTGTGTGGGGATGTCTTTAAATTATCTTCAATGCTGTGAATCACTTGTAAACTATAAAGAAAAAATTTAAATTTTATGACGATGGTGATGATGATGGTAGTGAATAGTTTAGACACAATTTAATATTTTATTAACTAGACCTCATTATACTAAAAGTTTCCAATTGCCTAAGGTACTGCTTACTCCCAGATACATTCATGTTTGATACCACATTCCGTTATTAGGCTGAGTCTAAGGTACCCAGCCAGCATTCGATCAGCAGATTGCTTTTTGTTGTGCTGTAGATACGCCCAGTTTCCTGCCTTGAACTTAAAGACACTCACCCTCTCTGAAACCTTGATAACATTTCCCCATTTGCCTTTATAAGCAATTTCAAATTCTTAAAAACATTTCACCTGAAGAATTCAACAGGCAGAATGGGCAAACCTTTCATAACACAGCTGACCTACCACCTTAACAACATAGACATTTCAACCAAAATTAACACATTTCCCATAGATGTTTACCCTCAAGATTTGAATTAAATTATTTATTCATATTTCTTAACACCCTAGAGAGAGAAAAAGTGGCAAGTCCAGGAACTTAGATCCAAACTACACTGAAACAACACATTTCATATAGGGAAATGAATTATTTTCTACTCATTATCACCTAAACGTAAAGTATAAACTCTCCTACTAATAGAGATACTTGATATAGGAAAAAGCATCTGTCATGTTAAGAAGAAATTCCACAAGGCAGGTATGTTATAGCAAATGTTTCATGGAACTTTTATGGTTTCCAAATATAGCCTAAGCCCTAGAATGATCTGATCCAATGTGTTTTTAGAAAGTAGATGTAAATATGGAATAAACCACATCTCTAATGACTGGACGTACATAACTATACAATGCAATTAGTAAAGGTGAAATCACCAATATTTAAAATGTATATACCAGTGAAAATTGCAAGAATAAAAATTGATTTAAAAAACAGTATCTGTATCAAAAGTAATTAAATTCTTGGACATGCAATGACTCCCTGTCTTTTAGAAGACTAGCCTGGGATTGACCAAAATAACTTCACTTTTATGAAGCTTTCCAGTCTTCTTTTAAAGTTATTCAGAAAAATCAGAGACCTTGTAAATTGAGTAAATGTTATATTCCATAAACCAAGGAGTAAATTATGTCTCCTTCAGGGATCTTGAATGATGTGAGGGCCAGTAGTGAAGATATTTAAACCAGAATTCCTACAATCTCCTGTTTTATTATTTTTTTAAGGCCTGAAAGTTAGAACACAAGTCAATATCTCATGGTGAGAGGACAATTTTAGAATTAAGAATAATTCTGAATCTATCCATTAGTTTCATTACAGTGAGATTTACTAATTAACACAGAGATAATAGTTCAAGATTTCTAAATTATTCCTCGGAGGATTAGTTCATCCATCATTATTTCTGTTTGATCTTTCATGCTTTTGTAAAAAGACTATAGTTTTTCACTTATCTATTCTTTTCTGGTTTAGGCAAGTTATATTTGACATGCACAACACTAAAGTTTTATTTCACAGATACAGACATTGATCCACTTTTGTAACCCAAGTATCGTATCTTACACATTATGAGACATAAAAGACAACTTAAACAGGCTACCACACACGATAGGGAGGGAAGCACAGAGATACTTGGATAAATGTTTCTATAAACTCAGTGTGTACGGGTCTGTGTTCTTCATGCTATCAGTAGCTGGCCAATGAATGCAGAATTTCTCTCTCTGATGAAGGTGGCAATGAGAGAGGCGCCTTGCCTTAAACTGTCCTGGAGCTTCTGCTCGTCCTGAAAAGAATGGATACAACAATATTTCAGAAAGATAAGACACCACACACTGAATTTAGTAGAGATACTTATTTTTTAAATATATTTATTTATTTAAATGTTTTCCCCCAGCTTTATAGAGATATAATTGACACATAATATTGTGTACATTTAAGGGGTACAATGCAATGATACACACACACACACACACACACACACACACATATATATTATCAAATGATGAAGAGAATAGTTATCACATTTATCACCTCATAGAGTTACCATTTGGTGGGGGGGGTATAAGCACATTTAAGGTCTACTCTATTCTACCATTAACTATAATCACCATGTTGTACAATTCCCAGAACTTATTCACCTTGTAGTTGGAAGTTTGCAGCCTCTGAACAACATCTGCCCAAATCCTCGACCCTGAGCCCCTGACAGAGACCATTCTGCTCTGTTTCGATGAGTTCAAGGGGCCACTTTTCAAGGTCCGCTACTCTCTGGTTTGGCAGTCTACGAAACTCAGACCATAGCCACAGGCATGGCCCCGGTCCCCAAAGAGAGGAGAAACCTTCTGCAAGCGCGTTTCGTTAGAGACCAGTATCTGCTGAAGACAGCAAGAAAACGCTGATGCCGTTTCAAAGGCTAACACGATGAAACACTAGATCATCTTCTTCCCACCCAATATCTGACAAACGTTGGCTCTTCGCTGAAGTGTGAATATTTCATTGATGATGCAAGCCTTTTCTTCATCTTGTTCCCGGGGAGCCTCCGACCGACTGCTGTAAACTGTGGGAACCGGTGTGGGGGAGGAGGAGGAAACCGGGAGGAACCGGCTTGTTTGTGAAGGATCCAGCACATTTGTGAAATGAGTTATCTCCCAAGCTGCCTCTGAACTCATATTGCGTATTAACATCTCTTGATTCTAATCACTGAGGCTTCTGGAAGCTATGAAGAAATGGTACCAAGAAGGGAAAGCGAAAGCAGAGATAACATCTCCAAGGTCTCTGTGCTGACAGCTGTGCCATGTTCACAAAGTGCGATCTGGGAACCAGGCTCTGGACTGGCATCACCCTCAATGCCTCAGAACAGTGTCACCAGCACCTGCTGATTCTACGTCCTTCGTGGTTCTTCAGTTCTCAGACTCCACTGGAAAGGTCACCGCGGGCACAAACCTCGGTCCTGGATTACTGGAACCATCTCATACAGTCTCTCTCAAGTCGGATACTGCTTTACCCTGTTTCCCACACAGCAGTCAGAATACTTACTGTAAAATATAGATCTGATCCCATCACTATCTTGCCCCAAATCCTTTAAACTTCAGGATCAAGCCTGAGCCATTTACCTGGTAAGGACAAGAGTCATTTATCCTTCCAGATTCTCCTTTAAAACCACTCACACGCCCAGGCCACACAGAACTGCTGAGGATTACACCTCATCCCTTTGCACCAGCCAAACCCTTTGCCAACTCCCTTCCCAGTTGAGCTGACCCTAGTTATTCTTTGTGGTTCCACCCAGATATCAGTGACTCTTGAAATCTACCCTCGCTCCTATCCTCCAGCCAAACTTGGGTGAGATAAATCTGTTTCCACAGCTGTGAATTCCTCTAGCGCACTGAATTCTAAATAGTCTTTTTAGTTGACCATTTATTTCACCACATGATGTTTCTTGATGTAAAGAATTTTTCATTTTATTTCTGAATATGAAACACTTAGCTCAATGCCTAACACATGGTAACACTCCATAAATTATAACAAATTCAAAGCAAAGGAGGCTCTATGATAGAAATATCATCACCCTTTCAGTTTAACTCATTTGCTAACGATGACCACTATTCAGTTCCTTTGTTTACCCCTATTTGCATGTTTTGTCAGCAGCCTTGGCAGTAGTACAGAGTATTCTCTAAGCTTCACCTCCTTCACCATGACTCTACCAGCCCAGGCCCCGGGCTTCTCATCTACGAGCATGGTGGTGAGACCACCTCCATTAAGTTCCTCTTTTAATCAACTTCCCGGATGGAGTTCCTAGGGGTGACGCTGGGGAAGACACACAAAGGACTGAATGGTGGCTACTTGGCTTCTTACATGTGGGTTTAAATGACATTTCAATATTAGATTTCCAATGTTGTACTGGTTTCCAAATATCACAAGACCTAAATCACATAAAAACAAATAACTCTAAAGCCCAGTATGTTTGGGCTTAAAATGTGTCTCACGTGCCACATCACTCATAACCAAAGAAATAAGTATTCTACAACTGAAGAAAATACAACCAACTCTAGATATGTATTGGTCACCCTTAATGATTAACGAATTACAATGTTGCAGGGTTGATAATACACATCTACTCCCAAATCTCATTTGTGAAATCAAGACATACAACAGATGATGATAATTAAAATTTCCCCTTTCACAAATAAACAGAAAAGGGCTATCTGCATGGCCTCTTTGAAACCAGCTTACACTTGTCAACAAGAAAGCAGCACAGAAGGAGGGGGAATCTAAGATTCTAGGGCTAGAAGAATCACATTTCCGTATCTTCAAATACATTTCCTAACTCATTTTGAGAGGTCCATAACTTATATATCTTTAGCTAAATAAGAATTTAATTAAGAATGTTCTTGTAAGGGCTCATTTACTTCTGCATGTTCTATAGGCATCATTTGCAAAGATTAGAATTTAATGAGAAGATCTTATGTTATTCCCCTGAATATTTGTTTTCCCTCTTGGCCTCAGCCCTACTGATCATTTTTTCCTTGAAAAATATGGAAATTTAAAAACCGTTTAAGCAAAATGGTGACACACACAAAGTCCTAGTGTGTACAAGATCAGATAGTCAAACACTTTGTGGATTTCAAACTCATCTCCCAATTCCATATGTCTATAAAAGTATTGATAACACAGGTTTAAAGAAATGCACACTCAAATAGTTCTTTAAAAAGCATTTCTTGATGCTAGTGGATATCCAAAGCTGTGTTTAATCCTTGATGAGGATGAGGAGCAAAGGGGCATTATCGGTGGTCATTTTATTATCATTCACATATATGTATATACACATACATTCTATTGTGTGTTCCAAATATCATGTAATAAAAATTTTTAATGTTAACTACAAGTAAGCAAGGTCAACGTGAACACTGAGAAATCATGTTGATGAGGTGATGCAAATGGCATTCCCCTTTGTGGTCTTCCTCCCCAACACCATAACCCCAGTCTAAATCGTGAGAAAAACATCAGACAAATTCCAACAGAGGGGCCTCATACGACAGATCTATGCAGTACTTCTCAAAACTGTCAAGTTCATCAAAAACAAGTGGAGTCTCAGAAACTGTCACAGCCAATAGGAGCCTACCAAGACGTGACAACAAAAGTCATATGGAGTCCTGGAATTTAAAAAATATACATTAGATAAAACTAAGAAAATCTGAATGAACTATGGACTTTAGTTGCTAATAGGGGAAAATGGGCGCAGGCCAAATGGGAACTCTTTATGATCATCTCAATTTTTCTGTGAACCTAAAAAATAAAGTGTATTATTTTCTATAAAAAAATAAATAAATAAAAAAGTAAGCATGTTTTTAATTGCAGAGTCCAGAATAAACAAGAAATATTTGGGGAAGAAGAAATTGTGACTAATTTTCATTATGGCATGTCAATGTGATAAGCTAGACCTTCCAACGATATTGCAGGAAAAGTGGGTACCCAAATTCCCACAATAAAAAATAAAGAAAAAGCTACTGAAATTACATGTATCAGCACTTTGTTTACTACCAGTAACTCTAGTACTTCCCAGGCTTCAGATTTACCTTGATTTCTACTCACCAGCCATAAAGAGCACAAGCTATAAACATGGCGCACCAATGTTTATACACCCACGCATAAAAATCAGACATTTTTTGAATTTAAAGAAAAACAGGAATTTTTTTTTTTTTAATCTCACCCGAGGACACTTTCACATTTATCTCCAGATAGAACGGGAGGGGTGGAGGGAGGGAGAAAGAGAGAGAGAGAAACATCGATGTGAGAGAGACACATTGAGTGGCTGCCACCCACACAACCCCAACTGGGGCCGGGGACAAACTGCAACTGAGGTACGTGCCCTTAGCGGGAACCAAACCTGGGACTCTCTTGTCCGCAGGCCGACGCTCTGCTGAGCCAAACTGGCCAGGGCAACAGGAATGTTTTAATATGTGTTAAAGTCTGCATTGTTGCCATATGGGTGGGGTTATTTTGGTTAATAGATAGGCTTTCCTATGACGGTTACATGTAACTATCATCTTCAGCAGAGTAGTGAAGTCTTGATGCAGAAATTCTCATGGGACATCTAAGCCCTCGGCAAGATTTGGGAAATCAGGGGGAGTGAGAGATTTCAGTTTAACTTTCAGAGAAGACTGCATTTTAGAGAACGACAGCAGCACCTCCACAATTCGGAGCAGCTCATCTTTTCTCTCTTCCCTCCATCCACCTCACAATTTGGAGAGGTCAAGCCTGCTGTTCCTAAAGGAAATTACTAAGAAGTTGCACATTGCAAGTGTGTGCAAATGGTCAATTTCCCATAATGCCCATGTCTTCAAAATTCCTTACTTTAACTACCCCTTTCAATTTTCTCAAATGACAACTTTTGGCAAAAGTGTTACCGGGGTACATGAAAAACTCTTTTAAAAGGAATATTTTAAAACATTAAATCCTATCATTGTACTACACAGCTCTCAGGACCTGAATGAAAGAGGTGTAAACAAATTGTGGTAGGCCATTAGAAGCACATTTATGTGGCTTTCGTGGAACACTGTCTCAAAGAATAGCAGGAAAGGCTGTGACGTCTTTGTTTTCCAAATCTTTATAGACAACCCGAAAGGAAATCTTTTAGAGATACTCATCCTCCATACATACCATTCCTAAAGAAAACAATGAACTCTGTTAAAAGGAAAACTATAAAGTTAAATATATGTATATATATTTAGGCTTTAGATGTCTCAGGAGATTACACAGCCCTTCTTGAAGGGTAAATATTACATCTCA